TTGCTTTCTGTTCACTCCTTCTCTTCTGCAGACAGGGCTAAGTCTTCTCCAGCTCTGGCAAGTAGGAAGCAAGGTAACAAATGAGATTGGGCAGGACCAGGCCAGAGCCAGTGGTGGATGGAGTGACACTATTAGGAAATGAGAAGAAAAATACAGAAGCCAGAAAATGGAGGCAGGTCAGAGACGCTCAGTTCAATACAACAGTATGGGAACCAAGAAAGACCATGATGTGCTGGGGAAACATAGGTTTGGAACTGAATCCTGGCTCCTTTCTGGCTATATGATAATCTTTAAAATAGTAATATTATTAAAACTCATGTCCTAAGGTGTTATGAGATTGAAATGATTTACTGCACACAAAATTGCTTAAAGAAATTTTATACTACATGATTGTTGCTATGACTATGGCAAAAAAAAGGAAAGCCTGCCCAACAATATTAAGTGCTTCTCTGGATTCAGAGTGGAAGAGGTAGTAGGGGTCTGTCTTCTAGTCCTGTCCTTTTAAGCTTTTGAAATTTCTCTCCATTATGAGAAAAGTATTTTACTTAGTGTTCAAGAACACATATTTATTCATGGAAACATTGGTAAATACGAATTCAACTTAGTAAATTTTAAAGGTCTAGCAAGTAGAGGGGAGCTCCAAAGGGCTACAGAAAAGGAAAGGTTTTTAAGGTAGAGATATAGTGGAAAAAAGGAAATTATTAGCAAAGAATCCATTGAAAATTCTCATCTGCCCTGAACTTTAGAATATTTGGAATATTCTAAATAGCTTATTTGGAGAGAGGGTCTTTGCAGACATAATTTAGGCAAGGATCAAGATGAGATCCTGCTGAGTTATGGTGGGCCTTAACCCAATGAATGTGTCTTTAGAAAAGATAGAAAAGGACACACAGAGAAGTTGATGTGAATATGGAAGCAGAGATGAAAGATGTGCTACTCTAAGCTAAGGAGTACCAGCAGCCTCCAGAAGCTGGGAGAACCTAGGAAGGACTTTCCTTTAGGCTTTCTGAGAAAGCCTGGCCCTGAGCATCTTGATTTCAGACATCTAGTCTTCCAGGACTCTTATAGCAGCCCAAGGAAACCCATGCATGTGATTATAGGTATCTGAATCCAAAACTTCACAAAATATCCTTACTATGTGTAATGTACTTTGATATTTTCTATCAATGCTGATTGTGACTTACTAAAATTAATGTTGTGATCCTCTGATGGGTTGTCATCCACAGTTGGAAAAAAAACTGTTCTTCTCTTTCATTGAGAATGAATGCTGAGTGAGAAAGGATATTTAGATATGGTGATTAAGAGTCAGAGCTGGATCCTCATTAAATATACACAATTGAAATGTTGGTGGGGGTTTGTGGGGAAGAGTCAATGCTGACTAGCAAGGAAATAATTCAAGTAGGTTGGTGGGAGCTGCTGGTTAGAATAGAGGTTTGATCTTTATAACAAAGACCCAAAGTAGCAGTGGCTTAAACAATGGACTCCTGTTGTTAAAGAAAAATGTTTTTATATAAAGGTTAAAATCTCACCTCTCACACCAGTGTAAACTGAATACATGTCAAAGATTTTAAGTCATTAATTCATGAGGGATCCATTAAGATATTGCTACCAGTTCAATGCCAAGTTCACAGTATCACGCATAGGTTAATTGAGAATGCTGAAATGAATTTAAAAATTCATGTAAAATTGGCTTTTTCTGTGGTGCAGGAGTAGGGAGCAAGGACGAGGGCAATCAACTATACCTCCACTGGACAGGATTTGTTTGCATGTGGAAAAGAAATAATCATCTGTACCACTATCAGTTATCTGTAGTTTAAGGAGTTGTAAAATAGGTCAAAGATAATGGTAGAGGTAACCTGACCAAATAAGCTCTTCAGGACACCCATGAATCTTTTTGATGCTCACTTCAAATTCTTTCTGTTTTTCCTGGCACTCTCTTATATGAGAGTATGAGTGTCAGTATACTGGAACTGCTGTGGAGCTCCCAGTACTGAGGGACCAGCTGTTGCACTCTTATTTATTCCTCCTCCATCCCTAGAATGACACTTTCATCTGCATGGGTCAAGATAGCGCACCAATGGCACAACTACATTCCTTTCAACAAGAAGCAGGGAAAGGGGAAAGTAATACCCTTCCCTTTAAGGGTATAACCTAGAAGTTGCACACAGCACTTCTGCTCATATCCTGTTAGCCAAAACTTAGTCAACTGTTCATGCCTTGCTGCAAGGGAGACTGGCCAATGTAGGCTTTATTCCATGTGGTCATGTACCTAAAACTTGAGGGCTGTCGTCCCAAAGAGAAGAACAGATATTAGAAGACAGTTAGTAATCCTAACGAAAGGAAGGACCTAAACCAGAACCGTGAATTTAAGGATTACTGAATAATGACGAAGAAATGAAAACAGAGCATCTTGGTTACTCTTTTGAGAATTGTCAAGAAAAAGGAGAAGCAGACTAGGAATAGGAAAGTCAGACAGAAGGGAAAGCGGACCGATTTTTCCCAGTCTTGAAATCCAAAGCTCACTGTACAAAACGCCATCCCCTCTATGTAACCTTGCCTAATCCCCAGGGCTAAAAATCTCATTATCTCCTAAGCTCCCATATCCCTCATGTATGCCATTTGCCTCATCGCTGACTATTTCTGTATGTGTCTTATATCTCCTGTAGGCTCTAAGTACCTCATTTATCTCTTCAACTTTCACAACTTCTAGTATGCCACTTTGCCCACAGCTGACATCTTTCTCATTTATCGCCTTCCTCCCTGTTGATCCCTCTTCAGTATGAAGCAAAAGAAAAGTCTAGTATTTCCCTTCCTTTTTAACAGCACAGAGAGTTAACAGTGGTCTTTGAATAGTTCTCTTTCCATCTTTTACTCAGGATGACTGTGAGAAATGACTGTTCACAGACCTCAGTGATGTAAGCAGGAGTTGCCCAAGAGTGACGTGTTGCTAATATGAAAAAGGAATGGGTGCTACTTCTTGCTTCTCATGATGCATGTTTCTGTATGTTCATGATTTGTTGTGTAGCTATTAAGGTACAAGAATTAATAAATATGTTCAGGGTCCTTTTGCAGTAAAACTGGTTATAACTTGGGGGGAAAAAGTGAAACTTCAGTTTGAAGTTTGAAAATCCCAAGTTTGAAAATCATGGTTTTAAATTAGATTTCATTTTGATATACAGTAACGCATAAGACTTAATCAAAGAGTGAAATGCCTAGTCTACCCAGGACAGTGTGGCATATTAGAAATCAAGAAGAATTTTGAATACACAGCAAAGGTATAAATCCTTATCCTGCCACTTACTGGTACATGTGACTTGGGCAAGTCACTTAACTTCTCTGGATGTCTCCTTTCTCAACCATTGAATGTGGATAATAAATCTACCCTGCAGGGCTGTTGTGACATATAAAGCTATCATATATATAATGTCTGTTATAAATTCAATGGCATTTGTTATTAATTTAATGCCAAATTGAGAGTATTTGGATTTTTGGGCTGCATTCATCCTTTTTAACTAAATGCACGGTATTGCTATGGAGATACAGCTGCAGTTAGCAGAAGATATGTCATGTTTATGTCCATTATGGGCTATATTAACAAATGCCTCTCCTCAGCCCATCCCTCATTTCAGGCAAATTATCAGAAATATCACAATGATTTATGTAACATAACAGTTCATCTTCTTGTGGAGTGGGTAAGTAGGGATTGGCTTATGGAAGTAACTGTACAGCTTTTAAACTCTACCTTTGTTTCTTCTTTACTTTAGGTGGGGCATTTTTTAGACTCCTTAAAACTTTAAGTCTCAGGGCCCCCAGTTAAAATGACCAATTAAGTTGTATAGAAATTCTTTCTTTTTTCCACACACATAAGGCAGATATTTCAGAATGTCTATAAGCGGTGGTATTTTAATAATTTTGTTGAGCCTTAAAGGTGTGTTATCAAATACTGCCTGTTCCTTCCAGTTAGGGGTAGAAAAATGGGGAAGGCAGAGAGGAATGACTTACTTGGCCTTCCTATTCTTCAATAAGGCATTGACCCTTGTCAAAGAGAACATATATACATATGCACACAAACAAGGACTCCCATTTACCTTATTTTCAAATTTAAATTATAGTATCCGGTCATTCATCTTTGTCACAATCCGCCAAACAGTTTTGCGAGAACATGTTTCATAAACAAGCTCTCCTTTCAGCATCGGCCAGGAAGGTTAAGGTTTAGATCCTGTGCGATAGAAAACCTTTTTGTAATTCACCCCCAAACATCTGTTCAGTCGTTCATCATTAACATCTGTCACCCATTTCTAGGCTCAACCCAGACAAAGCTATGTTTTTCTAACACACTCTATTCCAAATTGTTACCAAGTGATTCCTACTCAGACTAATCTTACACAGGGATTGAGAAGATGTTTTATTGGATCAAATTCGTCCTCTCCTAATGCAGCATCTACCCTGTAGCTTTGGCAAAAACCCAGTGGCTCAGAGGAAGAGAAATTCCTCATAACATGCTAACACTTTCCTGGTTAAATTGTTAGTTACCCCGAAACTTTTAATTCTCTTTATAACTCTTCAGGGTTAGCAAACATTATCCTATATATCCTATACATTTGTGTATCAAACTTTTGGCCCATTGAGCCTATCATATACCGTATTCAAGCCCCAGTGGGGTTGCTTTGCAAACTAACTGAAATAAGAACATATGAAATGTTTTCTACTACTTGATCCAATTACTTGCATAAAAAGAAATGTTGCCTCATTTGGAAAGATAACAGAGTGGTTAAAAGTATGCTGAGACCTGAACTGAGATCTTGGAAATGACACCTCTAAGTCAGTTAGCTTTGGTTATTTTAGTTAATGACCCTGGGCCCTCATCTACTTAATGGGGAAAATGGGTACCTCAGGATTATATAAGTTAAAAGAGATATTGTATGGAAGGTGCTTGACATAGTGCCTGGCACATAGCAAGCAACTCTGTCAGTTGTTAACTCTTGCTATCATCATCATCCTCACCATCGTCCTTACCATCATCATCATCACCGTCACCATCCTCATCACCATCATCATCACCATCACCATCACCATCATCATCCATCACCATCCTCATCACCATCCTCATCACCATCACCATCATCATCACCGTCACCATCACCATTATCATCATCATCACATCATCATCAAAGAAGTAGAAAAAGACCAGACTGGCTTTACCTTGCTCTTTTACTCTCAGCATGTCCTTTTCCTTTCTGCTTAACCAGCATTTATTGAATACCTCCTATGGACTCAAACATATGCCAAATATCAACATAAGTGAGATAAATTCCTTCTCCTCAAGAAGCTCTCTCCTTAGTAGAGGAGATAGACCAATGCCCTACTTCAAATCAGACTGTGGTAAGTGCTATATAGTTACAAGTAAAACTCCCCACAGATTATTTGAAGATGTTTTAACACCAAATCTCTGTTTTTCTTATTAGAAGACTTTAATTGGGGCTCATCTTACACAGTAAGTTAGAAATTTAAACCCCAGGGCAGACCTTTCATTTCAATGGGAACCTAATGGTTATAATTTAGGTCAATGTTTATAATGTCAATAGTGCAGTGAGACGGAGGAAAAGGGTTTCACCTCTTTTTCCATGCATGTTAAAAAAAAAAAGATAATAATGAAAAAGGCCCCCAAACTGAACCAGATGGAGAAACTGAATTATTCTTTTTTATTTCCTGTAAAATTTGAGCAATGATGACTCATTAAAGCCAATTTGATATTATAAGGTTTCTAAATGTTAATACCAATCTCTACTAACCTCTATCATCTATCTATCTATCTATCTATCTATCTATCTATCTATCTTTTTCTTTATTAGAGATCAGAGAGTCCTGGGACTCCATTTTCCATTGACTGTAGTCACAAGAAAAGAGTCCTTGTGGGAATTCCATCCTGGCCATAGCTATGGGCGCCTTTTCCACATTATCTGGAGAAAGGGCATATAGAGCTGAACACCTTCCAGATGTGTATCCTTCTGCTGGTGCTCCTTCATGAGTCCCTATCCTGGGGGCCTAAGTTTTGTGTGGGAGATAAGTGTGTCACCCTGAAGACATGATATATGTGTTGGGACTAACAGACCGAATCTGAGTTCCGCAGAAGAGCAGGATGGGGCAGGCAAAGGCTTTCTAGGCAGAGGGAACTGCTTGGGAGAGGAGGGGTGTGGGCTCCTGATAGCTGGTCTGTAGGGGGAGATGCAGAACAGGAGTGGGGATTGGGGAAGAATGGGCCAGGAGCAGATCCCCAAGCAGAGCACACATTTTGTGTTCACCAAGACAACTTCTTCTTTGCATAAAAAGAAATGTTGCAAAGGGAGCATGGCATTGCAGGTGACATGGAACAGGTCAGGAACTTCTAGGAACAGGTGAGATACCAGGTCCATTCTAGAAACACCTCAAATGTGTGCTCTGAGGCCTACTACATGGGCCACATAATGCCACATCTTCATGGAAGTTTCCCAGTGGACATATTGCTCCCTCAGGCTTTGTCAACTGGTGACATATTTCTATCCGCCTTCAACAGATTAAAAAATTGAAATTTACCAGCTGTGTCTTTCGGTATTTTACTTAACTTCTCTGAACCTTTATGTCCTCACTTCTAAATGGAAAAAAAAAAAACACCCTACAACTCCAAGTGCCCATGAGTCTTTATGGATATAGTACAGTGCTAACAGGCACTCATTCATGTTAATTCCTTTGTGGTCCAGGGTTATCCTCTAGGAAGTGATAAGAAACCCAGGTATCCTGACCAGGAGGTCACGTGTGTTCTGAGGCATCGTTCTACTTCCATGCACACCCTGCAGACAAAGTACACCTGGTAAGTCCCAGATGAACTGCCATCACGTTTACAGCATGAAGCTGGGATGGATCTGTCCCTCACCCTTCAACCCCCACCTACTTCAACAAACCCTGACCCTGTCAGCACATTCCTGTGCTGATCCCTACCCAACCCCATGCCCCTGCTTATGGGGGCTGAGAGGAGAACCAAGCTACCTTCAACAGGTCAGGAAAAAAATATTACCCCAAGGGAGGTCTCAGCCATGAAGTCAGCTGGGAGGGAAAACTAATGACAAGTGATAGTAAAAAGACCGGATTTTTCAAGATGTTTTTACTTGTCCTTAAAAAATTACAAAGACAAATCAGATAACCAAAGAATGCATGGCCTGTGAGGGAGAGAAGTAGGAAATTGAGTTAGAAAAGGATGGGGCTGACTAAACACCAGTTTGGTAATAGAGATGTTCCTAAATCAACCGGCCCTAAGGACATGAGGATGAGACGGTCGCCACCAAGTGTACTCCCTTCCCTGAGAATCAACCAGAGACTGGAATCTTGTTCTTGAAGTCGGTGACATCTTTAAAACCTGATTTATTGTTTGCCCCTCAAAGCCTTCCTGTGCCACAGTCACAGACACTTGGTTTCAGGCAGGCGCGGGGTAGGGGGTGTGCGCATGCGCCCAGGATGCACCTGCCCAGCCGGGGGTGGGGTGGGGGTGGGGGCTTGCCCTAGAGCTTGGAGAATGAGCTGCCTAGGGCGCGATGCCGGTAAGCCAGGTGTACAATGACGCAGGCTCTGTAATGGGATCCATCTGATCCGTCCACATGCAGAATTCACAGATTGTTTTATTTTTTATTTTATTTTTTTAAGATTTTATTTATTTATTCATGAGAGACACAGACTGAGAGAGAGAGGCAGAGACACAGGCTGAGGGAGAAGCAGGCTCCATGCAGGAAGCCCGATGTGGGGCTCGATCCTGGGACCCCAGGATCACGCCCTGGGTCAAAGGCAGGCGGTAAACCGCTGAGCCACCCAGGGATCCCCCACAGATTGTTTTAATGTGAGCAGATCCCTGCTCATGACCCTCCCAGGACATCCCATGCCACCCCGAATGCAATCCACACGTGTTAGGGGCTTCAAGGCCCTGTGTGGTGGCTTGGGCCCACCACGCCATGCTCAGTTTGCATCACTCTTCCGCACCACGACTGCGTCACAACTGCATTTGCCCCTGACAGTTTGCAGGTGACTCCCTCCTCTGTCCCCGCTCACAGTCTGCACTAGGCTCTTCTCTCTGCCTTGCCACCCTCGCCTTACTCTGCCCCACTGGTGCCCACTCCTTCAAAGCTCAGCCTTATTGTCACTCTCTGCCTTCCTTGTCTCCCCACCCCAATTGGGCCTGACCCCCTGATGCGCTCACATCACCTAGGCTTCTCCTCCGTGGCACTTGTTCAAATGCGTGGACTTACTTGTTGAATGTCTGTGGCCTCATCTGTGATAGAGGCATTGACCACATCTATTTTGTGGGTATGGGATACAGAGAACCTACCTCAAAGCTCCTGGCTCAGTGCAGGGTGTGACAAATGTTCAGAAAGTGAATGAATGACTGGTTGGAAGAGAACTTCCAGCTGGTCCCCTCCTACAGCTGATGGCTTCTGGCCAAAATCAGCTCAGGACAGAATATCAAATTAATAACAGTGCCTGTAACTGAATTGAATTAGGCAAAATGGTGGTTTGGCTGACGACCTTCTGGTCTTCTTCTAGTCAAAGAACTATGATAAAGGAAGGTCACTGGGGGGCGCAGTTGATTAAGGGTCTGACTTGGTTTTGGCTCAGGTCTTCATCTCAGGGTGGTGAGATCCAGCCTGGCTTGGACTCTGTGCTCAGCTCTGGAGTCTCTTAAAATTCCCTCTCCCTTTCTCTCTGCCTGCCCCCCCTCCCCCCCCCCCCCCGCCCAGCTCATGCTCACTCTCTCTCTCTCTGTCTCTCAAATAAATAAATCAATCTAAAAAAAGGGAGGAGGGAATCACTGGGCTGCAAAGTTATAAAGAACTTTAAGAAAAACAAGGCCCATTTTTCAAAACTAGAAAGCCATTAATCAGAAGTTTTCTGGGAGAGCTGATCACTCAGGTGTCTAGTCATACAGTCATTCATGTAAATGCTAAAATGTCAGAATTTAAAGTTGTTATTTGAAAGAGAAGCAGCTGCGACTCCAGAGCAACCAACAGCCCCTTGCTTGCATGGAGTAGTGGTTTCCAGTGTTATCCTGAGAGGCCCAGCTGTTCCCATAACTAAAGGCAACTTCCAGTCATTCCTTTGGTTTTCCACTGATTATAAAATATTATTATAAAGGCATAGCATGTCAAGTCATGGTCATTTATGAATACCAGGAGACTGCCAGGGAAAAGTAGATAAAGAGAGAAACTCATGACTCATGTCTGTCTCCCTCTACTGAACCAGGACTGGGTTCATGGCCAGGAACTGGAAGTTGCCCTCTTTGTGTACCTGGAGTCCAGAACAGTGCTGGGCACAGAGTAGATCAGGTAGCTCAGGTCTGCCGGTGCTCAGACCCTGTGGGGGGCATTCTTTACAACCTCCAGCACTCCGCTCACTGTCCTCCCATCTTCTGCTCTATTTAGACTTACCCTGTCCTCTGACCTACCACAGTATCTCCCAGCAGAAGTCTTCCCTCCTTTCAGACAAGGCATTTGTACTCAGTGTTCTACTTCCTAAGAACTGTAATTCAGACCGTCTCATTCCCATCTTTGACTGACTTGTGTAAGAGTCTTCATTCAAGCCTTGGTCATTTCGGGTCCACCTGCTTCCCCTCAGCCTGAGCTCCTTTATAAAATTTGAAAGAGTAAATCCCAGAGAAATAAGAGAAGTTGGTTAGCTGCCACCAGCTGACAGGCTAACAGGCAGGGTGTCCTAGGTCCAGCTATTAAACTCCCTCCAGATATGAATGACAGAGGAGAAAAGATTAGTGTACACAATGCCACTACCTATGCTTCTTCTGGAAAGACAGTAAAAATAAAACCCCCAAGTACAATAGCATCAAGGCACAGATTGGTGCTTACTTTTTCTAATCTGAATGAATTCCAAACTGCTTCTCTTGACCACTTTATGCTTTTAGGTCTGAGTTAGAAATCTCTTCCCTTCTTCCTAAGGATAAAGACATGTAATAATTGTTAAGAGCTTAGACTTTGGACTCTGGGAGACCAGTTTGGAAATCCTGAGTCCCCCTCTGAGTAATGGGGGAAAGCTATGTTACCCCTGCAAGCCTCAGTTTCCCTTTGGCCAAGATACAGAAGATGAGAGTGCAGAGCAAGCTTGCCCACTGGGATGGTGGAGACCTCACCTGCCCCAAATGAATGATATCTCCAAAGGTCAGATATCTTGTCTTCAAAACAGATTTTCCTACTGCCATGTGATCCAGCTCCAGGACTTTCTAGAAGTATTTCTTCTTCCTTCCTCCTTCTTCTTCTCACGATCTCTGCCCCCTGATGGATCAGGAGATGAGATGTCAAACGTTAATTTGCAAAACAGCAGTTAAAAAGTATAAAAGATGTATTATCCACCAAAATATAAGTCAAACAAGATTCACCACACATTCTGTTTTATAAGCTATCTGCCTCAAGATTTTAACTGCAATCGGCCGTAATGATCACACCACGCAGTCTATTCCGCCCGGTTGGAGCCTTTCAAACACACCTGCCAGTCGTTCACAACCCAGGTAGATGTACTACCACCATGCCAAGCTGTATTATTGCAGTATTTAATGGATAATCTTTTAGGACACTTTTATTTATTTTTTTTATAAATTAATTTTTATTGGTGTTCAATTTACCAACATACAGAATAACACCCAGTGCTCATCCCGTCAAGTGTCCCCCTCCGTGCCCGTCACCCATTCACCCCCACCCCCCGCCCTCCTCCCCCTCCACCACCCCTAGTTCATTTCCCAGAGTTAGAAGTCTTTATGTTCTGTGTCCCTTTCTGATATCTCCCACACATTTCTTCTCCCTTCCCTTATATTCCCCTTCACTATTATTCATATTCCCCAAATGAGTGAGAACATACACTGTTTGTAGGACACTTTTAGAACAATTAAAATTCTTACCTTCAGACCCCTGGGTAAATGATCTATTAATTCTACCCCCCTCATGCCCTTGAAGTGCGGATTAAGACACAAACTGTGTAAACGACTAGCTGTGACCTGGTACAGGTGGGGTAAACAGTGATTGAGAATGTGCTGAAGTGGGACTGCTTGAGTTTGTAGCTTTTACTGCTGAAGTCCTTTCCTAGTAGCATCAGAGAAAAGCAAATCTAGTTTAAGTAAGGGGCACCTGGGTGGCTCAGTCAGTGAAGTGTCTGCCTTTGGCTCAAGTTATGATCCCAGGGTCCTGAGATCAAGCCCCATATTGGGCTCCCTGCTCAGGGGCGGGGGGGTGGGTCTACTTCTCCATCTCCTCCTATTCTCTCTCTCTCTCCCCCCCTGCCCCTCCTTCTGCCCTACCCTCTGCCCCCACCCCTTGCTTGGGCATGTGTGCTCTCTCTCTCAAATAAATAAATAAAATCTTAAAAACACACACATATATGACTGAAAGTCAGACTGGATTCTAGTCCAACTCCACCTAGACACAGTAAATCACCCAACTCTAGACTCGTTTCCTCATCTTCTACAGTCCCATCTTGCACTTTGTATCCTAGGAATCATAAAATACCCATAGCTCTCACCACATATTGGCCTGTTTTATATGGCTCAGTTAAGGTTGTTTTGTTATCCAGATAAAACTTTGTGAATGAAAGTATCTTATAATATATATAACATAATAGACACACCATTATATATAGTTTTGTGATAGATTGATAGATAATTTTGTACACATATCTAGACAGAAAGACTGTTCCCTACATGAACCTCAATGTATGGCATAATGATTGGCACATTCTAAGTGTACACTAAGTGTTTATTGAATAAATTAATGATTGAGAAAACTGAAAGAATCAAAATGTAGCAGTGGTATTAGGTCAATTGTCATTTTT